TCTCTAATCTTTTCTTCTCTCTGTGCCCCTCCCTTTTAATTTTTCCTTTTATGACAGATAAGCTCACTATGTTTCATTGAAAAATCAAGGCATGTCATTTCTGTTTCTTTCCTGTTCACAGGCAGATTTATTGAATATCAGGTCTAAATCTATTTCCATTTCCTCACTGCTTAGTTTGTTCCTTAACTACAGTTATTATTCTTAGCATCACCCTGTCTCCTGAGTTGCCTATGCCTTTTTATGGTAGCAAGGGCTAGACCCAGGGATACTCTTAACACTGAGCTACATCCCTAGCCCTTTTCATTTTACTTATATATTTTAAATTTCTAAATATTTATTTATTTATTTTGTTATTGAGGATTGAACCCAGGGGTGCTTAACCACTGAGCCATGTCCCCAGCCCTTTTTATTTTTTATTTTGAGACAGGATCTCACTGAGTTGCTTAGGGCTTCGCTAAGTTGCCAGGACCAGTTTTGAACTTGGGATCCTCCTGCTTCAGCCTTCTGAACTGGTTGGATTACAGGCATACATCACCACACCTGGCTTCTCTTCATTTTATTTTATTTTTGGTAATGGGGATTGAACTTAGGTACTCGACCACTGAGCCACATCCTGAGCCCTATTTTGTATTTTATTTAGAGACAGGGTCTCACTGAGTTGCTTCATGCCTCAGTGTTGCTGAGGCTGGCTTTGATCTAGTGATTCTCTTGTCGCAGCCTCCCAAGATGCTAGGATTACAGGATTGGGCCACTACTCCTGGCTTTTTCATTGGAGACAGGACCTTGCCAAATTGCCTAGGCTGGCCTTGAATTTGTTATCTTCCTGCCTCAGTCTTGGGAGTCACTGAGATTATAGGTGTGTACTAGTCACAATGCCCGCTGTCCATTGGAATTCATCTGACATTTTTCTCATGATTAGATGGGGTTATGTATTTTGGGGATAAGACCATAGAGGCAGAGTGATAATGATGTAGGATCACAGTGATTTTTTTAATATTGATATTGGTCATCTGGTAAGGTAGTGGTTGTAAGGCTTCCCTACTGTAGAGTTTCTTTCTACCCTTCTCCTTTCCATTATATTCTTTGGAGGGAAGTCACTTATGCAGCCCAAACATCAAGAGTAGGATAATAGGTTTTTTTCCTTAAGGACAGAGATCATTTGGAATTATTCTGCACAGGAGATTTCTCTCCTTTCTGTTTATTTTTTCAAACATTTATTTATATCAATATTGACATTGATTTTTTATTTTATAATTAGGTTTTTTAATCCAATACTATATTTATTTTACTGCTTGACTGTTCCAGCCTTTATTTATTGATGCGGGGGATTGAGTCCAAGGCCTTGTGTGTGCTAGGCAAGCACTTTACTGCTGAGCTACATCCCTAACCCTCAACCTTTTAGACATTGGGAACTCTTATTTTTTTAGCTGGCCCCTTGCCTCTTTGATATACAAAGTAAGCTCTCCTTTTGAAGATGTTCCAGGCTCATCATGTATATATTTCCTGCTTCAGTTCTAGAATCAGCCATTTCTCCAAGGAATTTTTGTTCATGTTTTTTTTTTTGGGGGGGGGGTTACTGGGGATTGAATTCAGAGAGACTCAACCACTGAGCTACATCCCCAGCCCAATTTTGTATTTTATTTAGAGACAGGGTCTCCCTCACTGAGTTGTTTAGCACCTTGCTTTTGCTGAGGCTGGCTTTGAACCCGCTATCCTCCTGCCTCAATCTCCTGAGCCACTGGGATTACATGCATGCCCTTTGTTCATTTTACTGAAGAATGATGTTAGAAAGTAGAAACCAACATCAGAGCACTAGGTCTTTTCATTGCCCTTGTATTTTGAATCATCTTTTTTTTTTTTTTTTTTTTTTTTTTTAGTAGTACTAGAGATAGAGATTGAACCCTGGGTGTTCTACCACTGAGCTGTGCTCCAGCCCTTTTTATTTATTGCTATTATTATTTTGGTACTGGAGATTGAACTCAGGGGCACTTGAACACTGAGCCACATCCTCAGCCCTATTTTGTATTTTATTTAGAAACAGAGTCACACTGAGTTACTTAGCACCTTGCTTTTGCTGAGGCTGGCTTTGAACTCGTGATCCTTCTGTCTCAGCCTCCCAAATTGCTAGGATTACATGCATGAGTCACCAGACTTGGCTTTTTACTTTTCTCATACCATCCACCACCTGCTCCCTTTTACATCAGTTGTCAAAATATGATTTTTTTTTCTTTTTTTGCTTTATTGGGGATTAAACCCAATTGGGGATTGAACACCAGGAAATAATTCCTGGTGTTAAAAAGGGGATTGAGGAGACTGGGGATGTTAGCTTAGTGGGAGATATGGAGATAGCATGCACAAGGCCCTCAGTTCAATCCCCAGCACTTCAAATAATACTAATAATGATTTTTATTAATCAAAGATAGAAGGAAATTTTCTTTGCTTGATGAAGGTTTTATCTCACAAAGTTAAAGTTTTATCTCACTCTACTACTGAGCTACAGCCCTAGCCCTTTTTTATTTTGAGACAGGGTCTCACAAAGTTTTCCAGGCTGGCCTGAACTTGTGATCCTTCTACCTCAGCCTCATGAGTTGCAGGGATTACAGGTATGTGCCATTATGCTCAGCTTTAAATATTCTTTCTTTTTTTTTTGGTATTAGGGATTACACCCAGAAGTTATTTCCCCAGTCCTTTGTATTTTTTATTTTGAGACAGAGTCTTGCTAAATTGCCCAGACAGGCCTCGAATTTGTGATCCTCCTACCTTAGCCTCCTGTGTAGCTGAAATTACAAATATGAATTACTGGATCCCTAAGCTGTTCTAGCAATTTAATTGAACCGCAGGAGGAGGTTATAGGAACCCCAACTGGTGGTCAGTAGGTCAGAAGACTCAAAAGCCTAAACATGCAACTGGATTTGAAGTGAGGAATAATCTGATGAGACTGAGCCCTCAAACTGTGCTACCTTCAGGTACAGAGTGTCTGAATTAAATTGAATTAGAGGAAGTCCAGATGGTATCTGCTGCAGAACTGGTTGCTTGCTTGTTGGTAGGAAGAAATCCCCACACATTTGGAGATCACAGAAGTGATCTATGTTTTGAGCATAGAGTAGAAGAAACAGTTTATTTTTCTCTATATAACTACAGAGGTGCTTATTCCCTTCCTTTCATTCCATCCTATCCCACATAACCCCTGAAACACTCCCAGGGTTTCCAGGAACACAGTTGGAAAAATATTGAGATAAACAATGTAGACGCTACAACTGCAAAAAGGTCCTAAAGTAAGGAAAGTGACACAGTAGAAACCAAACTGTTGTCTGGTAAAAAGCACCATCATGTAAATACTTGATGGAAATAATTCCTGGTGTTAAAAGGGGGATTGAGGAGACTGGTGATGTAGCTTAGTGGGAAATAGCTTACCTAGCATGCGCAAGGCCCTCAGTTCAATCCCTAGCACTTCAAATAATACTAATAATGATTTTTATTAATCAAAGATAGAAGGAAATTTTCTTTGCTTGATGAAGGTTTTTGTCTCACAAAGTTAGCATTATACTTAATAGGAAAATATTAGATATATTCTCTTTAAGATAAAAAGGTGGGCTGGAGCACAGCTCAGCGATAGAGCACTTGCCTAGCATGTTTGAGGCCCTGGGTTCAATCCCCAGCACTGCAAAAAAAAGGTCACATACAGAGAAAGAAGTTATGGATGCCCTGAATTTGGGACCTCCTGCCTCAGTCTTTCGAATCAAGGGATTATAGGCATGTGGTACTGTGCCTGGCTAATTTTTTTTTCTAGTTCTTATTTATTTATTTACTTTTTTCCAGTTTTTGGGTTTGAACCTGGAGCACTCTACCACTTCCCAGCCCCTTTATTTTTTATTTTTTATTTTAATATTTATTTAGTTGTAGATTAACAAACAGTATCTTTATTTGTTTTTATGTGGTGCTGAGGATTGAACCCAGTGCCTCACACATACGAGGCAAGCACTTTACCACTGAGCTACTACCTCAGCCCCTATTTTTTATTTTGAGATAGGGACTCATAAAGTTGCCAAGGCTGGCCTTGAATTTGTTGCCCTTCTGCCTCGGCCTCCTGAGTAGCTAGAATTATATGCATATGCCATGACACCCAGCTTGTTGAAATATTCTTTTACTTCTAGTGGCATTACACTTATTCCTTCTTCAATACTTAGCTCTATGGCCTTGGGAATTCTTCTCATTAATGAAATATTGTGAGAATTAAAATTTAAATAAAGTGGGCTGGGGTTGTGGCTCAGTGGCAGAGTGCTTGCCTCGCACATGTGAGGCATTGGTTCAAGCCTCAGCACCACATAAAAATAAATAGAACAAAAATAGATATTAAAAATATTTTTAAAAGTTTAAAGCAATGTACATATCTGACACATGTGTTCAAAGCACTCTTTTGTAATTATTACTGTTATGTAAGGGTTGGTGTATGGATTAGCAGAGATTATATGCCAAGTGTCAAGCATAGTGGTTGAGCTATTCTAAGTGCCTGCTAAAATTTTAGTTTCTATTATTCTACAAATATTGCTGTGACCTTTTAAATAACTTGTCTAATCTCTAGTCTCTTTCTGTTCCATCTCATCTGACATACTATAAGGTTACTGCTTTTTCTTTGATACCAGAGATTGAATCCAGGGGCCACATCCCCAGCTCTTTTTTATATTTTATTAGAAACAGGGGCTTGCTCAGTTGCTCTGGGGCTCACTAAGTGCTAAGGCTTCGTTTGAACTTGTGACCCTCCTGTTTCAGTCTCCTAAATCACTGGGATTACAGGCGTGCATCCCTATGCCTAGCTCTATATGTTTTTAATATCTTGCCTTTCACTTAACCTTATGACATTAATTCTCCCTCTCTTTTTTTAATGCTGGAAACTGAAGCCAGAATTGCTTTACCACTGAGCCACACCTTTAGCCCTTACCTTTCTTCTGCCATTGGATTTTTAGATTATTTCCAGAACTTTTTTTTGTCTGCTATGGGGGTGGGGTTGTTTCTGGCAAAAACTAGCAAATCTTCTAGGCAGATTCTAAAAGAGCTGTAACACTCTAAAAAATTTTTTTATAAAAACTTCGTGAATATTTTTGCACATAAATCTTTTCCCATATTTAGGGTTATTGTTTTGTTTTGTGATGTGGTTTGGGAATTGAACCTAGGGCTTAGTGCCTGCTTGGCAAGCACTCTACAACTGAGCTGTACTCCCAGCCCCTCATTTAGGGTTATTATCTTAGGATAGATTGCCCAGAAGGATATATTTTGATTTATTTTTTTAATTGTGAAATTAATTCATATTTATTTATTTTACACATTTAACATATCCTTTTAATATCCTTAGTACTTTTTTTTTTTTTTTTTTTTTTTTTGGTACTGGGGATTTAACCCAAGGACTCTTTATTATTGAACTACATCTCCAGCTCTTTTGGAGGTTATGGTACATGCCTGTAATTCCAGCAACTCAGAAGGCTAAGGTAGAAGGATTGCAAGTTTAAAGCCAGTTTCAGCAACTTGGTGAGGCCCTAAGGATTTGGTGAGACCCTGACTCAGTATAAAACACTAGGAAAATGCTCTAGGAATATGGCTTGGTGGTTTAGCGACACTGAGTTCAATCTTCAGTACCAAAAAATAAAAATATATAAATACATACATTAATTAAAAGGGCTGAGAAGGTAGCAGTGGTAGAGCAGCCCTGATTCAATCCCTAGTACCAGTGTAAAAGAAAGACTGTAGCCTTGGGAGCCCTTACTCTGAGTTCTATTTTTGATGCAGTTTACTAATTAACTTTGGGCAAGTTATTAAATTTCTCATTTTCTATAAAACTGGAATAATACTTTGGAGTTGAGAAAATGAAATAAGATAATATTTATAAATATTGAATATAAAGTATTTGGCAAGTACTCAATAAAAGATTGCTAATGTTATTATTTGGGAGTTAACTTTCAGATTGATACATGGACTCTTCATGCTACCTGCTTATGTTAAGACATGACTCTCTAGTATGAGCACAGACTAGTTTTCATTCTAGTATTTGTCACATATTGTATGTTTGCCTGAACCCTCTGGTGAAACTGGGCTTTATAGTAAAGTAGAATATCAGTGTGATAGTAAGTTTTGGCATCAGACCTGAGTTCAGAATGTAACTACAGCTAGCTACATGCTACCTTTATAAGATCTTGGACTAGTCTTTCTTATTATTAATACTAGAGATTGATCACAGGACCTTAGGCATTCTAAGCAAGCACTTTACCACTGAGCTATATCCTTAGCACACCTACATCTTTTGAAACAGGGTCTCCTAGGGCTGGGGATGTAGCTCAGTTGGTAGAGTGTTTGCCTCACATGCACAAGGCCCTGGGTTCAATCCCCAGCACCAAAAAAAAAAAAAAAAAAAGAAGGAAGAAAAGAAACAGGGTCTCCTAAATTGCATAAGATGGCCTTAAATTTGTGATCCTCCTGCCTCACAGTCCCAAATAGCTGGGATTATAGGTGTGTGCTACAACATACTACTCAATCTCTGTAAGACTATTTCCTCAACTTGTAAATAATATTTACCCACTGTCTAAACTCAACAAGATAAACTATATGAAGTTCCTGGTGTAATATAGCTACTCATTAATAAATGCTTATTTGTAATCATTCATAACATACTGTGAGTTTTCTACTGCTATGATTTTGCTTCTTGTTGTTCCTATTTGTTTCTCTTCTTTTCTGCCTGTAAAATATTGGCTGTTTATTTGTTGTTATTATTATTACTATTACCTAATCTTTTTATTTTATTTTTTTTTTATTTTTTTTTTTATTGGTTGTTCAAAACCTTACACGGCTCTTGACATATCATATTTCAGACATTAGTTTCAAGTGAGTTATGAACTCCCTACCTAATCTTTAATGTCAATTTCTTAAGGTTTTCCTAGTTTCTTGCTACCTTCCCTCATCAAATGGAGTATGGTTATTTATTCCTTATCTGCATCTGTTAGGTTACTTTTGTCGTTTATAAGTTTGTCTTTTTTTTTTTTTTTTTAAAGAGAGAGTGAGAGGAGAGAGAGAGAGAGAGAGAGAGAGAGAGAGAATTTTTAATATTTTAATATTTATTTTTTAGTTCTCGGCGGACACAACATCTTTGTTGGTATGTGGTGCTGAGGATCGAACCCGGGCCGCACGCATGCCAGGCGAGCGCGCTACCGCTTGAGCCCCATCCCCAGCCCAAGTTTGTCTTATTTTTTGCTTGCCCAGCTCCCCTTACTTAGAATGTACATTTTTTGAAACTAAGCACCATTTTGCTTGCTCATAATGTAATCCTAATGGCACTTAGTACAGTACATTTCTCATAGGAAGCTTTCAATAAATGTTTGTCCTTTTTTTTTTTTTTTTTTGGTATCAGGGATTAATCCTATGGTGCTTAACCACTGAACCACAAACAGCACTTTTTATTTTTATTTAGTTATTTTGAGACAGGATCTCACTAAGTTGCTTAGGGCTTTGCTAAATTGCTGAGGCTGGCTTTGAACTCAGAATCCTCCTGCCTCAGCCTCCTGAGTCCCTGGGATTACAACTGTGAGCCACTGCGCCTGTTTACCATATTTATTTATTTATTTATTTATTTTAAAGAGAGAGAGAGAAAGAGAATTTTTAATATTTATTTTTTAGTTTTTGGCAGACACAACATCCTTGTTGGTATGTGGTGCCGAGGATCAAACCCCGGCCGCACACATGCCAGGCGAGCRCGCTACCGCTTGAGCCACATCCCCAGCCCCTGTTTATCATATTTAATTAATTTGTAGTCTAGCTTCTGACCACCATGCTTTTCCAAAGCTCTATTCTTGGAGATAACCAGGGATTTCCAAATTGCCAGAAACAGTTGACTTTTACTTAGTTCTCCTTGTCCTAGATCTCACTGCAGTATTTAATAGTGTTAATCACTTACTCCCTTAAAATGGTACTTTTAACACTGTTAATCAACTACTGTTACATAAAACTCTTTTGGTCTCCATGGCATTATTCTGTCCTTTTCTATGAATCACTTCATGATTTTAGTACCTTTACTTCCTTGAGAGAAATAATCATGATCATTTTCCAGGGTCATTCCTCCAACTCTGATCTCTTTTTTGGAAACCACCCCTAGCTAGGTCTTATCATTGGCCAGAGATCATCCTCAGGCTCATCAACACATCTTTACCAGTCACTTTCTCTAGTCCCTTGGAGTTCTCCCAAGCCTTGCAATGTTGTCTCTTTACTGTCTTCCTGCGTCCCCTCAAACAAGGCCCTTTTTAGATTAAGAGTTTTTATTACTAATAGGTTTAAGGAAAACAGGTTGAAAATTATAAAACAATAGATGTGGGAAATGACAAAGTTTAAAAAACAGAGTAGCAGTCCCTAATCTGTACTTTCTGATTCTCTCAAAAATGTTATCTGAAAGTCCTGATATTCTGCCCTTGGTTTTTATTTCTAGGGGTGGGAATCGCCAAACCTCTCCCTTCTTTTTGACTTCACCCTTGGATACCATCAAGGCCAGAGGATGGAACCAAGATAACATAAAATAGGTGCTCCTATGTGTTAATGAGCTATTTGTATCTCAGAGGGCTTCCACACAGGATGGCCATTCAAGAAGCTCTGCCCTGCTTTCCTCACAATCTATCTTTACTTCTCTTAATTCTTCAACTATGCAATAGTGCCCCTTTGTCAGAAGTTTTGTTTTCTATGGTTTCAGTTAACTGTGATCAATTCAAGTGCAAAAATACAGTATAGTGCAATAAGATATTTTGAGAGAGTGATAGAGACCACGTTTAAATAACTTTTATTATGGTATATTGTTATAGTTATATTTTATTAGTTATTGTTAATTTCTTACTGTGCCTAATTTATAAATTAAGCTTTGGCATAAATATGTATAATTAGGATAAAACAGTATACAGGGTGAGTATCCCTTATCCAAAATGCTTGGGACCAGAAGTGTTTTGGATTTTGGATGTTTTTAGATTTTGGAATATTTGCATATACATACTGAAATATCTTGGGATAGAATCCAAGTCTAAACACAGCATTTATTTATATTTCAGATATACCCTACATACACAGCCTGAAGGAAATTTAATATAATATTTTAAGCGTAACTGCATTTTGACTGTGATCTATCACATGTGATCAGGTGTGGAATTTTCTGCTTGTGGCATCATGTCAGCAATCAAAAAGTTTCAGATTTAGAGCATTTCAGAGTTTGGATTTTTGGATTAGGGATGCTCAACCTGTGTTTAGGGTTTGGTATTATCTGCAGTTTCAAGCATCCAGTGTGGGTCTTGAAATATATCCCCCTCTGATAAAAGGGGCCTGCTATAAATTCTATGCATTTGACTTCAATATTTCTAGTATTCAATATTACTACTATTATCCCTTTCTCCCTGATTCCATGTAAAACATTGATTGTCTAGAATTGAATTAGTTATTTTCACAAAGTTTTCCTTTCTGGACTTTGTATATGTCAGTGGTTTTTATTCTTTCCACTTTCCACATTCAAGAGTGATATTGTAATTAGTTTGTGTCCTCATTTATTATCTTCCTCACAGGAATGTATGCTATAAGCAGGCAAGAATCTTGCTTTCTTTATTCATTATTGTATCTCTAGCTTCTGTTACAGTGCCTGGCACAACAGTAAGTGCTCAATAAACATTTAAAATCCATGTGTGAATAAGTGTTATTACCATATGCCCTATTTACCCAAAAATATGGGGTGAAAAACAAGATCATATATATGAAAGACATCAAATTAAATTCATTGTATCACTATTTTTATTATTTCCTCTCCAATTCAAATCTTAGCAGTCTTTGCATCTTGTTCATTTATCCTTCATAATAGATTTTTCTTTTCATTTTCCTTTTAATGCCACAAAGACTATCCCAGTTAGGTCTTCTTTTGTTACAGCTATTGTTTTCATTTTCTCCACTTTAAGTTTATTGTATAGTCACCCCTTCACATTCATGGGTTCTGCAACTACAGATTCAACCAACCTCAGATTGAAAATATTCATGGCTGGATGTGGCATATACTTGTAATCCCA